AGCCAGAGGATAGGTAAAATTAATATCCATGGTAACCTTTTTCAACTTTTCACAGTAATGCTGGTTAGATATTGCTGAAAAGAACAGCTGATAATTTGCAACTAACAATGGAAGCAATCACAAATTTTGGTTTGGTCTTTAACTTGGAGTACCGGCTCCCACAATGGGCCAGAACTACTGACCTTTAAATGTAGGGTAAGTTTACCCAAACTTTATGGTGTATATTTTCAAATGTATATAAATGTAAGGTGCTACCAATGCAGGCTTTAAAACTTTGGTTTTAAAACCTACATGTCTGGAGAACTGATCTCTATTCAGTGGATTGCTGATGGCCCGAAAAAAGTGAAGTGTATATGTAATTACTATAATGTCTACATTTACCCCAATTTAGCACTTTTGGCACATCTGTATTATTATGCTCCATTAACACATTAATTTTGTTGTGATGGATTTGTATATGTTTTATATGATTTATAGAGATTATCTTCATAATGACAATGTGATGTGCCTATTTTTTTTATTATAAGTTGAAGTAATTTACTTATGCTAGGAAACACTGTCAAAGTGATGAAATTATCTTTATTTTGAAAATGGTTAAGTAAAAATGAGAAAATCATCATCGTTCGATGCTGTAGCACACATTGTTTACATTGCGACTGGTCTAGCTAGGGAGTACCAATATGGTGGCCGGTGGCTTCACTTTAACCCTGTACTATCAACAGGCTATGAGCAATCCAGTGAATTAATAGAGATCAGTGGTCTGGTCTGGAGCGGACCATGCTATGTATCTGCTGAATGCAGCTGCAAGGTTTACCTGAAATGTTTGTAGCTGGCCAATTAAAACATTAACTTTAACCTATGTGATGGTTTAAATAACCCTAAATTTGTTTCCTGTTAGACATCTAGACTTATGACCTTGAGCAAGTGTTCATTTAGCCCTTTCTGTGCCTGGGAAGGGCTTCCTGTTTAAATGTATCAGGATTAGCCTCACAAGCAACTTTGGTCCACCGCTGGAGCAAAATGTACAGATTCTGAGGGGTTTTGATTAAAAACTTGTTAGATGTGCACCAATCCACCTGTGCTGAGCTGCTATGGTGTCTGTGAAACGATAGTTCAAATTAAAGGATGACTTTACCCCGTTGACCCCGTGAGAAAAGGGTCTCAATAGCATCAGTCCAAAGCTGGGCTAAAAGCCTCTTTTGGTTTTATAAGAGCATCACATAATGGATGCTGAAAGGTGGAAAGTTAAAGGTTATAAATCAATTATTCCCAGACGCAACACCACACCTTCATAGTGATATATTTTGATATATCACTATGATATATTTTCTACTAGGTGTCAAAATCTTTAAGCATGTAACTAACATTTCCATTCCTTACAAGTGCCTTGGTGGATACTGGATTTAAGCTCCAAAGGACAAAAATAAAGGAACTTTATTTTATGCAGGTTGTCTTCTTGTCACCTTCAGCTCTTCTTTCCTCCATAGAAAACATTTTCATTCAGAGCTTCCTCCTTGGTATTACTCTTAACGGTACAAACAACTTAGACCAGCTGAGATTTCCACATCAAATCAAACCAAACATCCTGAAGACCTTCTATGACTCTGTTTTGGCATCAGCCATCTTCTGTGGAGCTGTTTGTTGGAGCAGTGGCTTATCTGTAGCTGAGAGAAATCGGCTGGATAAGCTGATCAGTAAGGCGAGCTCTGTGATTGGATGCCCTCTTGACTCAGTGCAGGAGATGGGAAACAAAAAGATCCTAACTAAATTAACATCTCTGTTGGATAATGTTTCCCACCCCATGCAAGAAGCTGGTGCTTAACTGGAGAGCTCCTGCAGTGACAGACTGCTGCACCATAAATGCATGAGGGAGCGTTATAACAGATCCTTCCTCCCATCAGCTGTAAGACTTTAGAACCACCACTGTTCCCAACAACCTCAATAAGTTGTTACATTCATGCTGATTTTTCACAGTTTATGTCTTAGTCAGCTAAGTAACACTCTGCTGTCATTTTGCACATCTCTGATGTTGCTGCTATTTTCAAATATCCATTAATGTATAAAATGTCCATAGCTGTATATTGGTTATTTTTCTCCAGGTGCAGTTTTATATTGTTAAAACACCTAACAGTTCAGTATTTCATTTGTTTATCTATGTTTTCACTATTATGATATTCTTATACACTTTTCTAAGGTCCACATTTGTGTGACCATTTTTTCTATAATCTTTTTGCTGCTGTAAACACCAGAATTTCCTCATTGTGGGACAATACAGAGATTTTCTATTCTATTCTATTCTATTCGAGAATCTCACTCCGGTTCCACTTACTATATTCAGACAAAATATACAGAGAAATTAAGTTGAGGAGAAAGTGATCAAATATGCATTCTTGAATGCATTTCAAACAGATGCTTTTCCATCAAAGTATAAGGTTTGAGTATATCGTCTAAAAATGTAAAGTTTGGCTTTGTTCTGAATAAAATCGCTGTGATTTAAGATTGGGTTTTGTGAATTCTAAAACTCAAATTCTAATATTTTGAATGTGTTGCACACGATTGACATGGTAATAAACTAAATGATATAATCTTAAGAAACTTAAAACAAATTGTGACCATAATGAAGGTGTGGTTAGAAATAAGCATTGCCACCACAGTAATGTATTTTTTTTTTATTTTTCGAGTTGCCTGATCAACAGAAGATAAAAGACAGAATATGATACCCAACAACCCTAAGGGGGGGATTTGCCAATAGAGACTATAATTAAGCAAAAATCTGTTTTAGAGTTTAGCAGTTACCAAGGCACAGTCCCAACAGCTAATAATTTAAAATAATTTTGAATTTTAAAATTGTAACACTATCAGCCTTAAACCTTTACTTAGTGCTTTCATTATAACCTTTGCATCATGCTGCTCTCTTGTGGCCATGCAGTGTAACAGCTTCTGCGGGCGAGTTTCCACCTCAACTATAGAACAGTTAAATCTTGGGTTGAATCTGTGTATCAAATGGACTTGTACGGTCATTATTGACAGCTTTATGTAGAGGTAAAGACAAACAGCAGGGGCAAGACATTTTCAGGAAAAGAGATTAAACCACACGCTTGGAAGGAAATGGGAAAGCATATGGGTGTGATATCTGGAGTAGGGATAACAACTGAAGTGATCAGAGCAAATGTGAAAAGTATTCATGTCAATAAAGGAAAGAGAATTGGATACCTTAAAATGTTAGGATTGGGTATATCATGCTGCGTCCGAACATCTGAATGTCTGGTTAATGGTAAAGTAATGGACCCACAATATACCTTGAAAAGTATATGGGTTTATATTGGTGGTCACTTGACGAACAGATATATCCCAGAATGCTTTGCCAAAGCTCTCCGCGCAAAACATCATGGGATTTGTTTTTGGGCAAGAAAGAACAAAGATGGTGCAGGCACCATGACCCGAGGTGAAGTAGTAATGAGTGGTCGTCTGTACGAATGGTCAGTTAACCGAGTGCCCTATAAACTCCACTACAGTAAATAGTCTTCACTTTATATAATGATTGAAGGGTTGGGGAGGATGTTCGGACACAGCCTAGTCATCCCCAAGACCTCCAGCAACAGGATGCTTCAAACGACTACTGCTGCAACTTTGAGAGCTAAGGTCTAGTATTCTAACCTAGGGGAACGTTAAAATGGAAACTGCCTCTAAGGGACAAAAACAGAATTCCACAACTGAGCTGCTTGTAAAGGCTGTGGAATACAACAGTGCAGTGCAAATTCAAAGTTATCTGCACTATTATGATTTGATTAAAAAGTCAACACTAAATGAGAGCCTAATGCTAGAGCATTTTCTTTTCCTCCCAACCCTTTAGTTTAGACAAATGTCAAACCATTGTAATGAATCATTTCTGGAAATACGTGGGTAGTAGAGAAGAATGTTGTTGCATTTACAGATGAAGTAATGAAGGGCTCAACAGAGACTAGATAGCATTCAATTCAATTTAGTTTATTTATATACCACCAAGTTAAAAACACACGTCATCTTAAGTCACTTTCCAGAAACAATAAAGTAAGAATGGTTAAAAGTTTCTATTGGGGAAAATTTTTGATTTCAATGAGTCATTGACTTGCAGGATTTGCTCCTCCTGGATAAGCTTGTGGCAACGATTTTCACTTGCATTTCGTTGTTGACTCTTCAGCCATCTCTCAACTTGAACATGCATGCAGCAAAATTAAAGTGGAAAAAACACCCTTTTAACAGGAAGAAACCTCCATCAGAACCAACCTCAGTGTAAGAGGCCTTCTGTAAGGGCTAACTAGGGTTCACGGAGATAGGAGCAGACATACAAAAAGAAGTAGATATACAAATGGCAACTATTAACTAGCTCCACACATGGCCCCATCCAGGAAAGATACATTTAGGCAGACAAGCTTCAAGCCAGTTCCCATGTAGGAGCATGAGAGAAATCACTTACAGATATTCACAGTAAAAGAACAGGACCACTCTTTAAAGAACAGGTAAAACTCCAAAATGTATAAGTGAAGGTATTGATGGCAGCAGTTCAGCTCATATTTCAATCCAGGATGGAATCACAGTCAAACAGGAAGAGGCAGATGAAGCTGCTACGACAAGAAAAAGCAGAGAGACAATAAAGTTATGGGTGGAACTAACTAATACTGCAGAATGGGCGAATAGAGGTAGAAGGAAACAGAATGATGAAAACAGGTCCCTATGCCCTCCTGCAGCCTAAACATATAGCAGCATAAATATAAAAATGGGCCAATATAACCTACGGTAACTATTTTGGATGAGGTATGAGAAAGGTAGAGCAAATGAGAAAATACCACAAAAGCAGATAAAAAGTACCTTGAGATGAAGGAGGTATCTGTCAATCAATGCTGTACTGACAGCAGAGATAACTAAAAGTCAAACAACTATGTAGTACTGAGGTTGGTGGTATTGCTGATAATACAGTGGAATAGTAGGACCTTAGTTCCTAATAGGCAAGTATTTACATAATTTATTGAAAAAGCAGCAGGTTAAAGTAACATTGATTTTCTTAAAAAAAAAAAAAAAAAAAACTGGTTAAACAATCTCTTGACTTTTTATATATATGGATATATAATAGAACATAGAGATAAAAACACAGTAGTATGGGAAGGATAACTTTGTATAACTCTCATTCAAGAGCGTTTAAACTATAGGGTTTTAGGTATAATAAAAGCAACCAATGTTATTAAGAGAGAAGTATGGATTATTAATCAATTTGAAATCATTATTTCTTATAGATTTAATATATATGAGGAGGGAAATAGCAAATCTATCTAATGAGCAGACTCCAGTGTTAATGGGAAAGCACAAGATAGATTAAAATGGAGATAACATATAGGAATGTATAGATAATTACAAAACTATGTCCAAATGATGGAAGTAGTTCTAGATTTGATGTAATTTATGGAACAGAATAAGCAACCAATATTACAATAGTGTCAAAGCAGATAGGTATCAGGGAGTGGGACATATTTACTAAAACTAATTGGGAAGTGATCATTATCCTATTTGGATTGGGCTACATAATAAAGATATACTGAACATTAAATGCTAAACATATTTGAATAATGCCTGATGTAATAAAGAACTAAACTCCATTAGTACATGTTTATTATATGAATAAGCAGGGAAGGCTTTTGAAAATCTTTTAGAGTAAGCAAAGTGGTGTTTGTTGGACCAAAAAACCCCCCCAACACAATGATAAATTGTGTAACTATCTGTCTGTCTGTCTGATTGATAAAATACAAATATTTTAATCTTTTTACCTTTTCAAGAGTGGATGTTTATAGAAGTGCCTTGACGATGTCACACCTGAAGTAAATAAGCTTAAAAGCTGGTTTGTTCTTGAATCTGAGAAAAACTCATTTTTATAATTGTGTTATGTATCTAATTTAATGTTTACACATGAAAATGGGTATCATTACTTTTCTCAAACATAAGCACTAAATTATGTATATAAATAAATGTCATTTTCATTATTCATTCATTAGTTAATTTACACAAGTCTTTAGAATTAACATAAACATGTCAAAGGAAGGAGTTCAAATTTTGTGAAGGTAAATATCTTTTTATCCAACATTTGCTTGAAAATTATTTGAAAATTCAGCCCTGCAACAAAACGTGGGCACAGTTTGATTCAAAACCGGAACAGAAGAGTTGCGGATTGTTTGTTTTTAAAATGCCACTCACAATATGGCGGCAACGTTGACGCTAAACCACACGCTCATCGGGAAGGTGTCTTTCTCTCTAACGTCAACGATTAGCTAACATCCACGATTTAACTTCGCATTCACATTTGTTTCTGTAAATGATGTAGAGCCCTGTATATCGATAAAAACTGGTTGAAAATACATTTCATGCTTTCAGAGAAAGGCGCTGGGTGTGTCGTCACATTATGCGACAATGGTGCGACAATGAACTTAACCAATAGAAATGAGTGTCATGTGACATCTAGCCAATCAGATCAAACCATGTATTTGAAATAACTATAAATACGCCACCCAGCTTCCTAATTATTAGTTTCCTCTTGCACATGACTCTTGACTGTCTTTTAGTGGGAGAAAACTACTTTCTTTCTTCTTTGTCATCCTAACTCCCTGGCTTATTTTTTTGTAAAATGGTAAGTTTTATTCTGCGGTTTTATGATTCTGTTGTATTAACTGGTTGTGTTTTATTTGGTAATCTCTGTCGAGCTTACAAGGAGAGATATAGACAATTAAAAACAAATTTACAGATTAAAAGCTGTTTCTTAATGCATTGGATTATTATTAGGTTGAATGAAGGCAGAGCATGAAGTTTCCAGGCTTCAGCCCATATTGAAGCTGAGTCATGGGCCTGTCACCGGCTGCTGTACTTTAGCCTTTTTCTGCCTGGCAGCCTGTGACGCATTCCTCTGTTTCAATGCCTTTTTGAAGAGGCCTCATGGGCGGCTCTGTCCAACAAAGGCTTTGTCCTTTCAGCTTATTCTCATGGTTGAACTGGCAGACTATGTAGCTCAATTCCAAAGAAACTACAACATGGTTTAGTTTATGGTGTCCCTTCTAATTTTAGTTATTGTGATTAAACAGTTGGCAGTAAGGATACTTATTACATTTAACTTATTATCATTTTATTTTTTTTCACAGCGTGAGTGCATCTCTATCCACGTCGGTCAGGCTGGTGTCCAGATTGGCAATGCCTGCTGGGAGCTCTACTGCCTGGAGCATGGCATCCAGCCGGACGGACAGATGCCCAGTGACAAGACTATTGGTGGAGGAGATGATTCCTTCAACACCTTCTTCAGCGAGACTGGAGCAGGGAAGCACGTTCCCAGAGCTGTTTTTGTGGACTTGGAGCCCTCAGTCATTGGTAAGCTTGATGATGAAATTCTTGGAAAAATGAATGAAAGAATTGGTAAAATAAAAACCTGTCTTCTCAGATGAGGTTCGCACTGGGACCTACCGCCAGCTGTTCCACCCTGAGCAGCTGATCACTGGGAAGGAGGATGCTGCTAACAACTATGCCAGAGGACACTACACCATCGGCAAAGAAGTTATTGACCTTGTTCTGGACAGGATTCGTAAGCTGGTAAGCCAGTAGGATTTATTTTACGTGTATATTGTGGATGTACTGTATTTTAAGAATGTTGAATCTTTCTACAGGCGGATCAGTGCACAGGTCTGCAGGGCTTCCTGGTTTTCCACAGCTTCGGTGGAGGAACCGGTTCTGGTTTCACCTCCCTGCTGATGGAGCGTCTCTCTGTGGGCTACGGCAAGAAGTCCAAGCTGGAGTTCTCCATCTATCCA